ACTTGCCGTTAGCCGCTGCCAACTGTATGTGCCTGTTCCACTGTATTGCAGGTATTTGGATGCCATATGCGCACTTCTCCGGTGACATGAAGGGCGTTTGTTTCTGTTTCGAGTTTCCGTAAATATTTGCATTGATTTTCCAAGAAATTTGAGGATTCTCACAATGATCCGCCTTTTACTCCCGTTCTTGTTGTTATTATGGTTGCCTTTGTATCCGGAATTTGCTGATACTTTTTATTCAACGCATAATTTTATGATCCTGCCGCTGCACTGTGCTTATGTTACTTCCTAGGTATTATTTCCCGGCGTTCTTTTGTGGCACTTGGAAATATTCTGTAGTATTTTTGTGACAACCTCCATTGCTGTTGTTGTTTTCTTGAAACTCGTAGAACTATGACCCATTTGTGAGCGGTTGAAGCAAATTGTGCAGGCGTGGTGGAAGGATTGCAGTAGTGGGAGGTAATCCGTGCTCAAGACATTTCACAAAGCTTCTTAGCTGGTGAATCTGCTTAAGAATTGAAATATTTCCATTTCATAAAATTCACTGAATCGAACAAGGTTCATTGCATCCAAACTATAGTTTTTTCTGGCATTGCAAATGAATTTCCTCTCACATCTGCTTTGAACTGGGAAGTATAGAGGTCGTATACTTCAAGACAGCAACTTTATTTGCCAAATTAATGTTGGCCATGACTTCCGAAACAGCTCATTTTGTTTCCTTAATATTTGTTGATTCGTATAGTAAATATGCAAACATACAAATATACAACAAACATATTCAAACCGTTCAGTTGCTCATATGCCGCGTTGCGTCAAAGAACTGTGTTAATACTTCGCTGCAGCGGAAAAGTTTTCAAAGTTGTATGTGTGTGTGAATGCATCATGCAAACAAGCAATTTGCTCTTTTGTACGGAATTTCGCCTCCAAAAGCTGACTCGTTTCCTGCTTTAACTCTTCGCGTCTGCATTCGTGCGCGTAGCATGTGAAAATTCATATTTTCAGCGCAAAGTAGCATTATTGCAACTTAATGCAACCAATAAATTAGCGAACCCACGTGAGTGGAATTCTCGCGCTGAAAACGCAAAACGACAGCGAAACGAAGCCAAGTTGCGACTAAAGTACTTACAAAGAAATGGTTGCCTGGCAACAATCAGCTTCCACCGAGGAAGTGAGTTTGTAACTTATCGCTTCGGAGGAAAGAAAGGTCCCATGAACCCTGGTGCATTTAGTCGCAGTCGAAGGGTGTGGTGGAATATGGAAGTGGTAGCTTAAAGTTGTGAGAACCTTTTGGTTAAAGTTTGCTTGCTTTGAATGGTGGATACAAGGTGAGCAGCGCGATGTTCTTATGCCAAAGTGTGAAAAAAACTGCGTTGCTAATGGCTTTTTGCTTTTGTCACCGGCTCTACTTGCAGAAAACGTTGTAAGAGTTTGAGATCATAGGCGAGCTTAATGAATTCAACCCAATTTAACAAAATGTTAGATGAAATAGGCCCTACTTAGGTACAAAGGTCCGAATTTAGTTTTATGTCATTTTTATTTAACAATTATATGCAATCCAAATGAAAATAGAATTTTAAACTCAACAAATTTGGCATATATTGCCCCTATCACCAATGCTACATTTCAATTAAAATCGATTTGATTATTTTTTATTATTATCATTCAATATAAAAGTGAGATATATAAATTTTATTTACAGTTAATATAGATAGAGTACTATCTGCCGGGGCTTCTGTTAAACAAAAACACCAATTTTTGGTCAATTTTGTGTTGAATTACTCGTTTAGTTCAAAGAAACCAGAATGTTACCACCTGTCAAAAATTTTAAGAAAAATTTTAACTTTGGTTGCACGGAAGTTATAATACCCTTCACAAATAAAATGATTCCTTACAAGAACTGTGATCGGTCGTTTAGATGGCAGATGGCATATAGGGTATATTAAGTAAGGATATAAATATAAGAAATGTCTAAAGTTAAAGTTAATTACTACAACTCAAAGACAAAACTATAATGCTTAAGAGGGAACAAAACCTAAAATTATTTTTAAGAATTTCCATATATTTTACTCTGCCATTCTAAGAAGAATAAAAATATTAATTTTTATGTTTGTACTAAAAGTCAAAGTTTAATAAAAAGAAGTCCTCGATCGAGTTTTAACGTATATCTCTATGGAGATATTCGGATATAGAGTTCCTAAAGAAAAGCGCAGGTCCATATTCAGCAAATCTCTCGTATATCTCTCTCTTATATCTTTGAATAAATAGACCTGTTTGAATCTAAAAATTGCTTTGTTGAAAACATGTTTTTCAGGTCGTGGTCTCATTTTTGATCTTCCCATTTTGCTGGCCTCGTCTGTACTTGATTTAACACACCCGCTGAGGTTAGTTGACTACAGGAACGTCGAAAGCGCGACGAAAAGTTTCGAACAAGCAAACATGCGTGCGAGCATGAGTTCATGAGCTTGCCACTTGTTTTTGCGTTTGTTTTTGTTTCAAATGCAGTTTATGTCTGACTGTGCATGGGGTTGTGAGGTGTTCGTCGGCGGTATGCACACAAACTGCTTCTTGCAAACTTTAACTGACTCCTCAACTCAACTACAGTGGAAAACAATTTATTAAACTCGTCAACGGAAACTTGAGTCTTGAAGCGAAAAGTTTGCAGTCGAAACTTAAATTTCAACACATGTCGGGAGTTTTTCATTACGCTTACTTAGCGAAACAATGCAGTCGCACACACACACGCTCACCCTCACACTTGAATGAAATACAAATTGCATGATTCCATGTTTTACTTTATTAAAGTGTGCTTGCAGTAATTGTTTTTGCAAACGTGCTGTGAAATATTTGCGAGCAAATTTGAGGATCAGGGAGAAATCACAAGCCGGGGTACCTATGAGCCGATCCGTGGATATGTACCTACCGAAGTTCGAACACTAAACCTCGAGAGTAATAGAACTATTGTACATATACATGCGCGATCGAACTCGTAGAATTTCTTCTTTGTGGCTTTTTACTGCATTGGTATTTAGAGAGTTGTAAAAGACTGTCTCTGCACACAAAACGGTTCGTCGGTTAAAGGATTCACTACCTTGAATTTTGTCCCCGATATTTATCGTGTACATAAACATACTAAAGGATAGAATCCGAATAGTTTGAGAAGGTTCTTCAGGTATAAATTTCAGATTATAAGCAAACTTTTGCCTTTCGTATTTATATATCTTTAATATATATAAAAATTAAGTGTCCCGTTTTCTCCGGGGTAACTCCTAAACTACTGTACCAATTTTAATAAAATTTAGCACACTGTGTCCAGTTGGATCCAACTTAAAAGATAGGGGAGACAAAGATTATATCTCAAATATGTTAAAAGTAAAGCAATTCATAAGTAAAAAGTGAATTCTAAGCAAAAGCAATTGTTCTAAATTCCAAAAAAAAAAACTATCAATGAATAAAGAAATAATAATGGTAATGTCATATGGAAAATTCATTATATATATTTTCCATTGACAAATATTTGTATGTGATCAATCATTTTCAAAATTAAACAAGTACAATCAATCCCTGGGAATATTTTACCGTCAATAAAGCTTTTGCCTTAATGCGTAAATAATATTTTTACTCTGTTGAATAGTATTTAATGTATGGCATATACTTGTATATGGTATTTATATGTGACAATAAATAGCGATAACTGTCTCATTCAAGAGCGAAGTTGTTATCTTCGCATGTCATTACTTTATAACATTTGTGAAAAACTAAGAGTTTTTAGAAAAAATATACATTTCAATATTTAGAGGGATGATCATACTTCACTTCTATGGAGCTACGGACTTTGAGAAAACAACAAAATTTTACTTACTTAACTCCAGTTCTTATCTAAAATTGCGTTTACCTAAGAAAATGTGTTAAAAGTGTTTCACAGCTTTTGGTATTCATTTAAATGTAATGTTAGTGTTTGCTGGTGGAAAAAGAAAAGTCAATAATAATCTTCGTTTGTTGATCTGTAGAGACTTGCTTTGCCGTTAGTTTCTCTGCCTGAATTCAACTGACGCAAGAGGTCAAAATGTGATCAAAAGTAAGATAATATAAATAACATAAATGAGCAAAACAAATAAACAAGAACACGCACCTCAACAGGATGACAATTGGAATTAAGCATATGAAAGCGTAACTTTGCATTCGCTGAGCAGATTAGTTCGGAAGGGGTGCAGATGTGAGCTGCTTTTCAAGAGATCTTGCTCTTCACTATTTTACCCTATGACGCTCTCAAGAGCCGAAGACTTTGTGCGAAAGAAAAAATTAATTTAGAGTGCAAGTGTGGAATGCAACAGCAAAAAGTGTGTGTTCTCGTCGCAACTTCTGCCATTCGGAGCATGTGTAGTGGAAAAAGAAACAAATCCATAAGTTTTATTGTTATTTAGTGGCAACAATATGCAGCCAGCACAATAGTTGCCGCGTGGAATCAAATCCTAGCACATTTCCTGTTTGCCACTTCACTCGGCTTAAGTAAAGCAGATTTTCTTCCACGCTGATACATCTGAAAAACAAATCCCTAGAAGCATTGCCAAATAAAATACGGCAAGAGAACTAGAGCAAATGGAAGTAAATAGAGCCAATACCCTGTACTTCAATGCACTTGCACTGCTCCCTCCGTTTCGCCACTTCGCATGCTCCAAGTCTAAAACGTGTCCTCGCACTTCAGCAACCTCTTTAGTGCTCCGGGTTGCCCTCATGCTGGTGCAATCATGTTGCCAGTTTTAGTGCCGATAGCGTACTTACTGCTGCTAATGCTGATGCTGACGGTGTAGCTGGTGTTGTTGCTGTTAGTGTTACTGATTAAATACGATGGGAACGCTGTTGCAGAGGCAAAGGCGACGCCGGCAGTCGTGCATATCGGTAATCGTGTTGCCATTTCCGGCAGCGCTACAAGCAGAGGATGTCAAATAGACAGAAGAACAACGCAGTGCCACTAACTGCCACTTCATTCCTGCAACATCCGCTACGATGTAGCTGAAATTGGCAGCGCGCCAAACGCCATTGGCTCCATGTCTTGCCACTTGCCACCGGCATCGCGCTACGGAAAGATGTACATGGATCTGAGCGGCGCGCAAATAACTAGCCTCGCTCAAATGCCGCTGCTCCATAGATGGGGATTTAGGTGAGATGCTACCTCGAGGCATGTAGCATGCGGCAGGTTGTGTGAGCCACTTAAGTTCACTTTGGCGAAAGCAGATAGCGGCTAAGTAGCGGCAAATGCCACAATGGTGGAGAAGAGCAGGTAGTAGTGAAGGCTGCGCAAGTCGTAGTCGAACCAATATCTGATAATATTACCATTCCTTAAGCGAGCCACCGCCCATGCTAAGCAGGTTGTTTGCTGATTAATCGCAGGGCGAGGGGAGACGCGATTTCGGTATGTTCAATGCACTGCTGGATGCTTTTAGACAATACTTGAAAGGCAAAGTGATTGAAGGCAGCTGAGTGCTGAGTGCTGACGTTGAATGTTGAATGCGATATTTTCAAGTTGCTGCAACGCCGTGCAACAGCGTGCGCACCATGCAACAAGTTCCAATCGCTCCGTTCACGCCTTTAAGACGCGAGATTAATAGATTTTGGCTGGAGAGGCAATGGAAATCTGCTGAAAATAAGTTAATAGCAAATATATTCCATTGAAAATAATTGTATTCTTTTCGGCACAAAAAAGATGGATTTGATTGAAGTGGCGATAGAATTCAGGTATTATCTATATATTTTAGAAAGTAGATCGATTTAAAAGTCAAACAATCTTCAACTTTTTCTATACGACTTTTCGTATTTCTTTTGCAGTGTAGGTTTAAAAAGGATCTGAGGATATTTATTGTTTAGAAGTGAAGTGTCATGACACACAGATTAGAATCACTTTCGCATATTTTCATAGACCCTTTAGGGAAATTAGACGAATTCAAACTAGGAGACTTCGTTAAAAGTATTGAATAGGTAATACCGGTAGATAGTCTAGACCGATAGTTAGTTAATTGTTTCTAAAAATTTAACATTTGCAATCTTTTACAATTTTGACATTCCTAATATTAGTTATATGGTTTTTCTTTGTTTTTAGGGAATCTTGTTGCTTTAGCTTTAGCGGTTAAGAAGATATGTACGTCGTACACGTTCCGGTCGTCCTTCGACGTCTACCACTGACGATAACATACAAAAGTGAAGATATCGTGCTCGAAAATCATCATGTGAGTGTTAGAAAGATAGCAAGTAAGCTAAACGTCGGCCGTGAAGCAGCTCTTTTGGTTTTGACCGATAATTTTGGCACGAGACGCGTCAATGCTCGGCTTGTCCCAAAAGAGCTGAATTTTGTGCAAAAAGACCATCGTGTGCAAGGATTTTAAGACCAAAGCCTCGTTCAATACTATCGATCAACTACCGTATTTACCGGGTTTGGCTCCATGCTATTATCTTTTGTTTCCAAAACTCAAGTTAGTGGAACCCGTTTCGACTCGATTGTAGCCGTAAATGAAGGCGATCTGAAGGCGATCCCGGACAGCGCCTACAAGGCATGTTTCGATGATCGGAAAAAGCTGAGGCATATGTATATCGCTTCAAAAGGAGCATATTTTGAAGGCGACAAAAAAAATTTTGATGAAGATTACAAGTTTTTCGTTTTATTTACAATTTACGGAAACTTTCTGGTCATAAGGTGTATTAAAATTTTTAGAGGGCTTGGCCACACCCATTTCAAACTCTTTTTAAACTGCAGATGCCCCTCCCTAATGCGAATCGTTACACCAAATAACAGTTATATATCTTTTTGTGGAGCTTAGTTATGACTATTTATTTGTTTTCGTTTAATGACGTTTTATGGGCGTGCCAGTGGTCCGATTACGCGCATTAACAATACCAACCGTCTTACTGTTCCAAGCAACATGTGTACCAAGTTTCATCAAGATATCTCAATTTTTACTCAAGTTACAGCTTACACCGACGGACGGACGGACATATAGGCACCCCGATTTCAACTTGCCTCTTGCTCCTGATCATGTATATATACAGAACTCTATATCTAACTCGAATAGTTTGTGGTGATACTAACAAGTCTTGTTTCACGTCATAATAATTGTATTATACAATTTCCTACACGGATTTTTAAAATACGTGTACAATAAAAGCATCAATACCACTCTAACCCGACGTCCGGCTTTCTAACATTACTGTTTACATTTCAGTTTTCTCAAGTGTTTGCCCTCACACAAAGCCCTCTTCAAACATCAACAAAGCAACCGAGAGAACCAACCTGACAAGCATCTGGGTGTACAAAACTTTCGACCGCAGAACAACAATAACAACAGCGACAGCGTCAGCAATAATGCGCATCGCTTCAAGTGTCCACACAATTTGTGTACTTTTTTATTTTTTGTATTTATCTAAGCACAAGTTGCAAAGTAAGACCGTCCGACTTCCATACATACATACACGCATACATATTCACATTCACATACTCAGATACAATACAATGGCGTTGCAAGACCCTTTGCAACATGAACTTGTTAAGAGATACTCACGCGTGCATGTCTATGTTTCAACATTATTATATTTCGAAAGGAAAGGTAATATGTGGAGTTGGATTGCACGAGTATAATACAAAATTCATTTGCATTCGTAAGTCAAGTGGGATTATGGGAAAAATGTATATATTTTTATGCAATAAGTGTAGGCATGAAAGATTACATAATTGCATAAATATGCGTGCTGAGCTCAAAAGGATCGGGACTCCAAAATAGATCAACTATTGGCTCGAAAACTAGTATCTAGAAAATTGATTCTGAAATGTGTTTCTTTGCTAAGCTAAATTTCAGCAGTCGTGATCCAGCATCTAACGACCAGAAAATCGCATACTTTTCAACGTACATGTAAATTTGTGCAGATCAACATCCCTGGATTGAATCTGGCATTTCTCTAACTAAAACTAAATTGAGTACATTAATATTAAATATCAAAACTTGTTGCTTTATTTAGCTACCAAGCCATATTAATCCATATAATTGAAGAAGTTCCTCTTTATATTATTGGGATATCCCGATCTCTAACCGAGTCTTTTAATTTTTTTCAAATGAGATCAGCCCGAAAAACAGCCAAGTAGGGTTTACTACAAAGACGGAGACAGTTTTACAGTAAGTACTATTTGTACTTATTTGTTTCGACGGCTGACTTATTGCTTCAGTTAAACTGGCGTTCTTATCTCCCAACCAGAATAGTTTTAAAACTGGCTGAGTATGGTATGAGCTATGTACAGGTTGGTTAAAAAGTTTCTGCGCTCGAAATGAAAAAAAAAAACTGTTTTTGGTACGAAATATATTTTTTTATTCAATATAATCTCCCTTAATTTCAATACACTTATTCCAATGATCTTTAAATAATTTTATGCCATTTCTGTAATGACTTTCCGCAAAATACCCGTCTACCGCTGTAATAGTTCCTTCGCCGGAAAACGCTTCCTACGAAGGATTGTTTCAGGTTTCTGAAGAAGTAGTGGTCGCTGGGTGCCAAATCTGGTGAATACGGTGGATGCTCAAGCAATTCGTACTTTAATTCGTTGAATTTTGTCATTGTTAAAACACCTTTGTGAGCAGGTGCATTGCCTTGATGAAAAATTATTTTTGTGTGCTGCAAACCAGGTCTTTTCTCACGAAGTTTTTCATCCAGCTGATCCAAATGGCTGCAATAATATTCAGAGGTGATTGTTTTACCTATCTGCAGATAATCAATCAACAAAACTCGATTTGCAGCCCCAAAAACTGATGCTATAACCTTCTTTGCTGATCGTTGTGACTGTATCTGCTTTGGAGCTGAACAACCAGCTTCATTCCACTCTAACATTCTTGTTTCAATTTAGGATCATGATGAAAGATCGAAGTCTTATCCATAGTTGTAAAATGATGCAAGAAAACGGTTTTATTCTGCTTAAAACGCTCGAAATTATGCTGAGAAATTTGTTTTCGATCCAGTTTTTTTTGAATTGTGAACGTGTGCGGCACGAACTTACAGCTTTTTGTAAAATATGAAGTACTCATACTTCTGAGATGTCTCTGGCATTAGAAATTTTACGCTTAATCAAACTTGGATCTTCACTAACAATATTATCAACTTGCTCAATGATTTCTGGTGTGGTTGCGGTTTTTGGTCGTCATTCGTATGCATCGTCTTTAAGCCTAGTACGATCACGTTTAAATTCACAAGCCCAAAGTTCAACGATGCGTTTTGAAGGGGAGGACTCCTAATACACTTCTAACAATTGTTCATAAATTTCCTTTGTTTTTAAACCTTTCAAAACAAAGAATCTAATCACAGCACGATATTAAATTTTTTTCATATTAAAAAAATGCTCTGACACGTTAACTAGAAATGGCTTCTAAACAAATAACTAATTGACAGAATGACTTGTAATTTTGCATGTGCTCTCACGATAGATGTACCAACCTGAAAAAAAAACAATTTGGATCTAGTAGTGTTATGTATCTTAACCAACCTGTATTTTCACTACCTAAAAGTTAAACTGATTCGTATGAAGAGTTTGTACAATATAATACCTCACATTGCTCATACTTTTCTGATATTGTTTTTGCAAGAGTTATTTTATTTTTAGTATATACAACTAGATATAATTAAGAGCTGAGTTGTTGTCCTACCTTCTTTTGTTTAGATTTGTTGAGTTATGTAAATGAGGCCGTTTTACAGTGCACCTACGCCCGCTATTTTAAATTTCAAAATATGTTTGCATTTTGTGTGGAAATAATGATATTACATTGTCCTTTTTTTGTAATCTTGTAGCTTCTGATTGTACTCGAGTATGTTTTTTTGCATATATGTACAAGTATGTATATCTCCATTGGATAAAGTTTCGATAACTATTTTTGTATCTATTTATGCTTGGAAAACAATCATCTGATGAGAGCAATAAATCCGCCACTGTTGAAGGCCCTTTTGCCATTGTGTAATATTAAACTTATGTAAATACACTTACACTTACATATATTATATATATCCAGTGTGTGCGGATTTCATGAAAGCCCGTTGACCATTTGCAGTATTTTATTTAATTGTATTGAAAACTTATTGACACAATTTTTTAACCTCGTTAAACACTTTTGTTCGATAAACGTCATGTTGAGTTAGTTGAGTGGCATTGAAGTGTGACAGCGAATTAATAGCGTATTATATAATTGCAGCAGAAACAAAGCGTTGCGGGTAAATAAGTAAAAGAGAGTATGGGTGTTGGCATTGAGAATTTGCATAATCAACGAGATGTTTCTGTGGTGCGAAGTGAGTCTTTTTAACGCTTCAGTAAAGTTCCTGTTAGAGTTTATAAATTTACCATCATTTTAGTTTTAGCTGAATCTATCTATATACACTTTATATGAATTCGCTTTTCGTATTTAGTTGTAATTTCGCAGCAAAACTTTAAGAAGCGTACAGAGAGGCTTACTGCATCCCTAATTAATAGTAAATAGATTGCGACTCGCACGCAACCACAAAGTATTCACACCAACATTTCGGTGGTGCGCCATCTTTACTTGACTTCAGGGCAAACTCTACTCACATTGTTTATGCAATTTAATTTTCTGAGTTCTGCGGCTTTTGCAGCAGTTGAAAATAATTTCGAAGAACTCCAATCTTGTCTTCATTTATTTTTCATTTGCCCAAATTGCACAATTATTTACTAACGTAGACCCCTTCTTTGGCCGCCTCGCCGCTGCCCTCGAACTTAGGGCAAGCAATTTCAACTTCAATTCGCACTCCAAGCGAATGTGGCCCGAAGTAACTGCACAAGCGTGCGAACAATACTGAAATGCCGAAGCTCAGCCATTGTGGACAACTTACTTAATCTCTTGCCCCTGTCTCTTCATTACCGATTAAGCTGACCTCATTCTAGCCAGCAGACTGACCTTCATTGTGCCGTTAGTTAGCTTTGTATTGCGTTGTTGTTGCCATCGCAGAAGCAAATGGCGAATATTTTGTCGAGGTAATGAACCTCACGGGCAGATAGGTCTTAGATATCGGATTTTAGATAACACTGTTCCAAAATTAGTTGGCGTCTGAAGTAAAAATCGAAAACACTCCTTGTTTTATTATCTGGTTGTTTGCCCATACAGCCACTTGGGAGAGGGTTATAAGCGTAAAGTTGGAAAGAGTGGTGTCAAAGTCAAACTATTACCCAAAATCGAATTACGATCCGATTTGCTTGATATCTTTGAAAGTTGGCACGAAACCAAAATACCAAGTCAAGCCCTTCACGACAAGAACTACTCTAAATATGAAAATATATTTAAGTCATTTATAAATAAAAATCGATTTACAGTAATTGGAGAGGCTTCCGTACAAATAAAAGTTTTCTAGAAGCTTTTAAATTTTATTTGTATTTACTTTGTTCCTTTGAAAATTCTTTGTTTAATATAAAGAAAAGAGAAGAAATTGTCTTTGTTGGCTAAACAGAATGTAAACAGAAAACTTGTTAGGCTTTTGTTTACTAGAAGTTGGCTTCAGCTTTTGCTTTTCTTGCCTTTGTGGCTGCAGTTATCGTATTCTCAATTGTGACAGGTTTGTGGCCGCCCGCATAAGTAACGGAGTCACAGGTCATTTAGTTGAGTGCTTGTAGTGGTAACAAGAGCAAAGTTGCGGCTAGGATATGGTATGGAATCAGAAAGTCGAAAAAGTTTCGCCGTTGCATAGATCCATTTGACAGCTCGTCAACGAAGTTTTGAGTGGCGCCGAATTTCTGCTCGTTGTTGCTTTGTCGTGAATCGGCTTTGCTTTTATAATATTTTGTGGGGTTTTCTGAAGAGAGAGGTTTCGCAATGGTTGATAGCAATTAATCATTTTCGCAACTTTCGAGTTTCTTAAATGGCAGAAATAATATATAAAAGACCTTTTCATTTATTGGTTTTTATTAATTTTTGTGCTTGAATGCGCTAACGGTGTATAGTGTGTGCGGTTTATTAGAGCTGCCACAGTTCTAAAACGCTTCCTCCCATGCGAGTGGCTTGAGTTATTTTCTGTTGTTTCTGTCGCTGCTGTGAATCTTGGTTATTTACGACTTTGTTATTGTCGCTGCCGTGACCTCTGATGCCGAAGAGTTCAGCAAGAGCAATAAACCGCAAAACTGTGCGCGATCCCTCACATGAGTTTTATTATTTTATATCCATTTTCGGTGCCTTATCACACACATAACCATGTCATTTGCATATTCGAATGTGGAAGTGATGGGAGTGCCGGCCGTAAATTGTTGCCTTAAAACCAAAAAATTTGCATAGCAATCGCCGGCTTCGCAAACGTGCAACACTGCGTGAGTTTACAAAGTTCGTTTAACGGTTGGTGACTCTCTCTTTACAATATCTTTCAATAATTGATGTTTCGGGAAAACGCTATCTTCGTCGCAGTAGGTAACTGTGGCGAAAAATATTAAACTTTGTTGTTCGAAAATATTTTTTTAATTTAAATGCTTCTGGCAACACCTAACACTGTTACATTGAAGAGCCCAGTGCGGCATCGGAGTCATCCAAATCGATTTATAACTGCAATGTGTGGTACAATGGGCGATAATTTTGCGAAAGAATGCGAACAGAGCTTGTTTTATCAGCGCTGGACGCACATTAAATGGCGGGCAATTATACGAAAAGGCAACAATAACAAGCACCGATACTGAGAATGAGCTTGCTCGCTTAACACTGTCGGTTTCTGCCTTCAAAAGCTGTAATTAAGCGCACAAATTGGCAACTCAAATGCAATAAAAGCACAATAAATGTTTTCTCTAGCCGGGATATCATGCCACATGACTATACGCTAGCACATACACACATACGCAAGCATAAATGCAATGTTACAATGATATATCTTCTTGTTTACTTGCGATTTTTGTTCGCAGCATTTCGCTGAACTTAAATAAAATATGAAACTCGGTTTTGCACGTGTCCAAAAAGTGTACAGTGTACGTCACACACTCACACATATGTACCTACAGTCTCGCTTTCCTTGCCTTTAGTGAAGCGTTGGTTTTTCGCAATTTTTTGCTTTCAACGCGGCCCACATTTTAACTTCATTTTCTTAGCCATGTTTAAATTTGTTTTGCTTTTGTTATTAATTAATTTTATTTTATATTTTTTATTGCTGCCTCTTATGCAGTAAATGCACCACCTGCGGTTGCCACAGCAATGGCCGCTACAGCAGCAGCGATAATTGCATTAATTGCCTGTGGCTTTGCCGTGGCACACCTCAGTTGCGTCGCTTGCTTCGTTGGCTCCGCCTGGCTACTCTGTTCCACTGGAAGCCTGTCCATTGACGGCTGACAGCCGACGTTGGCAACGCGATTGCCAACAAGGGACGCATTTTCGTAATTCTTCACAAGTTTGTTCACTTTGTTTTTTTTTCTTCGGGCCTTTGCAGGTCAAGGATATTGTAATGTTTAAAAAAGTTATAATGATGTACAAAATAAATAAATAACAAGAAAAAACGTTAGATTCGGTTGCACCGAATCTATAATACCCTGTAAGAGATTCCTTACAAGAACTACTGACTCGATTTGAACGATTTCTTTCAAGATTGCACCATTGCCATGGACAATAACCCATGCCAAATTTGATGGGTTCGTTAAATAAAAAACCTTCCCATGTAAGCACTTGATTGTGATCGTTCAGTTTGTATGCCAGTTATATTCTAAAGTGGCCCGATATCAGCCGTTCCGACAAATGAGCATCTTCTTGGTGAGAACCTGTGCAAAATTCAAATTTTTCAAATCGATTATCTCAAAAACTGACTGACTAGTTCATATATAGCTATTTAGACGGACAGATGGATGGACACGGCCAAATCGACTCAGCTCGTCACACTGATCATTTAGATATATAGTTTATAGGGTCGTTTGACGTTTCCTTTTGTTTGTTACAAACGTCATGGCAAAGTTAATATTACCCTGTTCAGGGTATAACAACAACGTAACTCCCTGTTGACGATAAAAAACCATTGCAATGTGAGTGAATTTAAAGATCTTTAGAAAATTAAAAGTATGTGTATGATTTGAACTTTGGTTTCATTGAAATACGAGTGTTAGTTCCAAATGACTGACTGGTTTATGTCAACTTAACAGCGCCTATAAAAAATCTTGTATAAAACATATTTTATAGCATCCGTCATAAATAAACGACGAACAACTCAATATTGTAACATTAAAATATTTCTGATTTCAAAAACATGTTAAAAATACCATGAAATCACTTAAAAAGATTTAAGAACGGATTTTAAGAAGAATGAGTCTGATAGTCAAGTTATAGAATTTTTTATGGTTGCAGAGATTATCATAGCGATTTTTGAGAGTATTTGGTATTAAATCCGTTCTAACTTGACCCTTTCCTTTTTAAACGCTAGCAACATATTGCTACAGAGTACATATAATAGTTTTGTTTACCAAACGGTCCTTTTTGTCACTAGTTTATTTGGTATAACAAATCACATTATGGAGTGGCATCTGTAGTTTTAAATATTTTTAAAAAGTGGGTGTGGTCGCACCCTCTAATAGGTTTAATTTGCATATCTCATTACCCGCTAAAGCTATAATAACCAAATTCACTTAGGACAAACATTTTAAGTACCCTTATCGACAGTGTGATGGAGTGATAACCCCGACCACTCCCCATATAACGGTTTTGATTAAAACTATTAAAAGTGCAATAACTCATTAAATAAACAAGTCAGAGACGTTGAATTTCATACGATGGTTGCAATTAAGCTTGGTAGGAGTCAAAACAAAAATTGGACAATGGAATTGGCACCACTCACCCTTAGGGGAAAACCCATATCTCGGGATCTACTTGATAAATTATAAAGTTGAGTGAAAACTTGACCTAGCCCCCATATAACTAATATCATTATTTTCGAACATCCGATAGACTTTACTCCATATGATTGGTGATGGTATGTGAGGTACCTTAATGAAATCCTGTAAGCATTTATTAGTCTGTGGCATGTTAGTAGTATGTGGTATTGGCAAAAATTGATAAGGCAATACTACCCCTAACTCCCATATACTATTTATAATGATTTTTGTTATTCTAGCAAATTTTATGCCGAATATTTTACCAGCCCCTGAAGAAATTTCCCGGGCTTTGATTTTGGCAAGTTGCAACCGAACTTAGCCCTTTATTACTTGTTTTATATGTATTTAATTAAGATGTGTTCAATACTTTTAAGTGGGCTGCTTCAAATCAACCTCGAAAAGAAGAAAGAAAACTGACTAAACCAACGTGAAAAATTCTAAAGGATTGGCTATGGTGATGAAGTTGACTCATGGTCTCGGTGCAGTTAACGGCGCATAGAAACACACAAATATGGTGTCTGTAAGACACGGCAAATTCCAAACGAAATCCAAAGATTTTTGCTTGTAATCACCTCTTAATTATCCTTTGAGTCCTGCCTGTGTTGAAATAAAGCTGAAAATCCTTCGGTTTATTATACGGTGAAGGCAGAATTGTATAATCTTTTACATTATCAAATGTCAGCATGACTTGCCAAAGATATCTACATAGTGAACTCGGGAAGGGGCTACATGACGCGAGCGTAAACGTCAAGTTCAGAAAAAGCGGCATAAAAAGGCGTTTAACTTACAAAATTGATGACATTTCGAAATTAATTTTTTACACAACCATTTCTTCACACACTCACATATAAACACAAATGTCATACATATGTACTCGTACGTATGTAGATACACATACGTTCAATAACGCAATTATTTATACAAGGGCTTATTTATTTGTAGCCATTGTTGTTGTTGTTTTGACACTGATGACTAGTATATATAGTTGACGGAGATTTTGTATCGATGGTATTAAATGAGCTGAAGAAAATCCCCCAACCTCGCCTCCTGAGGCGTTTAGTAAACATGTTCATATAAATAAAAATTAACGCGTTCGAAGCGCAAAATAGAAAAGACGTGCTTATAATTTCACTTATATGCAGTTATAATGCATTATATAAATATTAATGGCACTAAGCTATTCGTCGCTTTGGTAGCTACCGGCCTATATTCCGGCGCCAGCGACCCGAGAAATGAAGTATGCGATCACCGGTTGAGCGACTTTATTGGACTTTGGCCTAAAAAAATGTTAATTTACGACTCGTTCGAGCAGCCAAAGGATACGGCAGACGCCTTGGCAGAGAAATTCTAATACCAGATGGGGCGGCGTATTGCGGGTAGGGCGTTGTTCTTAGGTGCGTCACCACGGACGCACTAAAGGCAGCTGGTTGGCTTATTTGCTCGTTATGTCTGCCGAAATGTACGCAATTAGGCGATATTCAAATTTGACATCAAATTATGGTGAAAACGGGCAAAATTAAATATTTACACACCTTTAAGCGTTGCGCATAAGCAAACACACTAACAACACATATGCGAGTTTACTTGTATGTTTGTGTCGTTAGGTACACAGCAAAACAAACGTTCGCCATCGCTTTTGCAAACAAACTCACTCAAAGAGAAAAGCAAGTTTGTGCCCTTGTGGTGTATTTTCCCCCAATTAATGTCATTATGTTGAGACTTTGCTACCGGCGGCGGGAATGTACGGCTCCCATTTCGTAGGGCAAAAGTCGGCCTTGCCACACTTGAGCTGCCGTGTCACATTCGAGTTGCATACCTCTGAAGTAGGAATGAAAATCAACAATAATAAAATAAAAAATTCGAAATTCCCCTACAATTAGTTAAATTTTTTTTGGAAAATCAAATTTGCTGTCTGGGAGCAGACTTTAAGTATCCTAGGCTTGATCGCTTATCGAAGCGAGTGAGCCATTCCGATATTTAGAGGATCAGGAGAAGCGCTGCAAAACCATCGTTGACAGGAAAAGCTGGAGCACAGTGCTATTTTCAAATGATGGGCAATTTGTATAGTAAAGTATGGCCGAGCAAGAAAAAGGATTCCAGTTTTTATCTGAAACCTTTGAAAAAAGATGCTTCAGTGCTGAAAGCGGTCGAAGATATACAGAACCTGTAGGTTTAGAGGGCACGAAGGGCCACAGTTGAATCTAGCTAAATCTTTATTGATTTTATAAACATTCTCTTTTCACGCCCAGCACTCCGGAAGAAGTTGAGCAGCAGTTCGAAAACGTGTGCCGCGCGTCCCACAAGGTTCTGCACAGCCTGACGCACAATCCGTGCGGCCAATTATCCATGCGCATAAAGCAATGCTTGGACGAAAATGTTCAGCAAATGTCCAAGTGCTTTGCCGAGATGGACGAGTATAGAAAGTGCGTGAGTGATATGATGTCGCAGAAGCTGGCTGATGTCGTTAGCGATTTCGAAGAGCACAAAGAAGACGACGATAAATTCAATGAAAGCGATTTGGATGTTGAAACGGAAAACGAGCATAGCGAACGAAAACAGGAGAGTGACCCAAGTAGCTGCGCCTAAGCTCCTTACGCTATTTAGTATGTAATCATGTGTATTTGTGAATATATATATATAGGTATATGTGTGTATTTATATATTATATTCTGTGTCATTTCGCTTTGTTGGCGAAGTAAGAACATTTTTTGAATTAATAAAGCAGTAACGTAAAGGTCACTGCAAGAACTTGACATTTTAAATTTCAAAAAGATTGACGATTGATATCAAACTACTGACGGATGGAATGGAGGAAGTAAACCTTATCTCATAAAAATATGTAAAAAGTAATACACACCAGTTTATATGTGCTTTACTCTCTGAATGAGAGGCTGTACGAAGTGCTCAAAAGCCAAAACTTTATAGAATAATTTTAAACGAAATGTTTATAAACGTTTTTTTATGTAAATAAAATATTTTGTATAATTTTTATTGATTTATACCCTTAATATGGTATATAAGTTTGCCACAGGGCATATAACTAGATCAAATTCAAGTTCTTCTATGGATATCTTCATTATTTGACATGATATCTTCACGAAATTCGGCATATATGCAAGACGACGCACCTTTTTACGAACAAATTGTTCAAATAAATAATGGTAGCTACAAACTGACAAATCAAAATCAGTACAAAAATCTTCATAAAATATTTTTTTGCTTCATTAATTAAGTTTAATTCGACTTGAAAGTTGTTTATAACAAACATTGTGATTTTAGTTGCCAATTTTCTCGAATTATACCGCAAATCTCGACAGAGCGAAAGAGGGAAAAATTATTATAACTTTGCTTGCAAGTTCCCAAATACATATACATACATGTATATATGTAAGTACAATATATAGAAATCCGTGTATATATAGTTAAAAAGGAAATAATACAATTGTGTTTGCAACCATTTGTCCATCCATCAAAAGTGTCTAAATTACAAACATTTCGGGCAAAAAGGCGTTCACATGCCTTCCGAAAATGTTTACCACATACAAAGTATTTGCTTGTGTATCAGTATGACCATACATGTAGGTACACATGAAAGGTAAATATGTAAGTATGTGTGTGCACTGTTTATGACGAATGACTTTTATCACCGGATATTTGCATTTGCACCCCTTCGTTGGCTGCCTTTAAAACTGGTGTGCTTTTGTTGTTGTATTTGTTTCTCTGCCGCACATAAATGTTTCTCTTGCGGTATGTTTTCTCACATATATATTATAAAATATTAAGCGTGTATCTACATTTTGGGAGACGCATACATACGCAGATATATCTCTATGTTAGGATAAAGATGAAAGTGCTCGAGTTTTCTTTTCAAACCCAAAATGTCAATGCCTATGCTTTTTGCCCAGCAAGTGAATTTGTTTGTGGTTGCGAGAGGTAAAACATGTCTTTTTGCTGTCACACGGGGCGCTAGACTGGACGACAGATGATAAATGAAATTTACGGGTATTAGTCAAATGCGGCTGCAAAGTCCGTAAATAAGGGTATGCGCCTCATGAGATTTACGCTGGAGATTTTGCTAGCCAAACTGGGATATGAGAGACCTGCGTACCTTTCAACTGTGTTGTCTATTTATTCTTCCGCACATCTGGCTTTATGCTATTGTTAACAACCTACATTCAGCCATCTGTGTTAATTTCTGAAGCTTTCTTATATCTACGAGTATATTGAAAATTTTCATTTCTCTTTTATATTTAATTGTATAATTTAGCAAAATATATTTATTGGACTAGTTGTTGCACCTGTGTATGTTAGGGAAGTTTTGGTTAGTTTTGGTTTAAGACAATATTCCAGTCTTCTTGAAACACTCCTTGATAATTCATAAGTTCATAAAGCAAAGGCAACTTGTGACCGAATTGATGCGATATTTAGGTTTATTGATTTCTATGCTTGAATTATAACCGATTCAGTGATAGGTTTTCCATTGGCAATATATAAGCTATCGTCATTACCAGAAGGCTTCTTTCGTTACCTCAAACGGAAATACTTTTCCTTTAGCTTTAAGGCAGACTATTGGAATCAAAAAAAGGACCTCAATCAAATTTACCATATATAAACATATTAATACTTATGGATATAGATATATATGAGATCCTAAACAGTTTTGAACTCGCCCCTGCCAGTCTTACCCTGAGGCGAAATAGATTACTAAAAACATCGAAATCCAAGAAAAATTATGTTATCCATGGTCCTCAGATTAGACTGGCTAATTTAGTAAATTCACTTCAAGGTGAAATTGATTTCTATGGAGGAACATACGCTGCTTTTACCGAAAACACCAAGAGACACCTGCTCGTCTGAATTACATCTAAATCAAGTCTGAATTACATATTAACTTACAATTATTTAAATATTTTCAAGATATTACACTAATATACCCTAGCCACTTTTGTATAATACTTTAATTCTTTATTATATCTATGTATATTGCCGATTGGCGTTTAAATAAATAAATAAATAAATATATTTAAATAGATTTATACAACTTGATGTTATTTCACTTGGCTTTTAAGCCCATTTGTTAAAAGTATAATTACACTGTTCTCTGATAGAGGCGACATTTGGTATATTAATCTGTGAGTAATTTACAGCTGATATTTTGCTTAAACTCCTACTTTACTCTCGTGTTTTTGTAATTATATTTGCAATCACTTTTACAAGTAGAATCTCATTAATCGCATTCATTATTCATTGCTCAGCACCAGTATCTTATTAAATGAATTCTGGAATGTTTTTATTTCCTCGGCCATTTGTATGTGTGTAACGCATGTGTAATTCTCTTGGAAACACTTAATCCATGCCTGTCCTTTCTGCACACTTTACTCATTATCTCTTCATTCCTCAGCTCTGCTCAGACTCACACAAAAATATATCACAAATTCATGCTTGTAGTTTTTTCCATTCAATTTTATTTTTTGTTGTTTCATTTTGTCCAAAACACCAACAGCTGCTCATGTACGACGTTGTATGTGTGTGTGTGTGTGTTTGCAAGGCTCATATGCATACAAATTACTGCTGTGGTACGTCGGTATTTTTGCTCGTAAATATTTGCATGCATATGTGTTTTTTATGGAAATTAATTATGTCGCCTTTATTTGGCAACATTTCTAAACATGAGGATGCGCCCGGTGCTGGCTCGTTTGTTTTTCTGGCATAACATTGCAGACATTGTTGCCAATGTTGTTGCTGTTGTTGTTATTGTTACTACTTGCATAAGCCGCCGCTGACATTCAAGACAGCGCAATGAAATTATTATACAAAAGTGGGCGTATGTATGTAAGTGCATACAAAAGTGTTTTATTATAGCATACTTTTGTGCTTCTTCGGGCTGCATCGCTTGGCGATATGTACGCCCTACTCGCTACCCTGCAGGGAACGTCTTTGCATTTCAAAGGGATAGTGCTTCAATGTCTTCATTTGAAGTAAAGCAGAGCAAATATGAAATTATATAAGACGAAAATACGTTGAATTATTATATAAAGAGATTAATAGCTTTCCAATGGGAAGCCATTTTCACATAAATGAACAACGAAAGCTATGGATCTGACGTGCATCTTTCATTGCTATGGTGTGGGAGTTTTTTAAGTGCGTTCTCTATGTGATATTGTTAGATCCCTTTCTCTGACAGTGTTAATACGCTGGGGTCTCTCACAATGAATCAATTTGACTACATATCTGTGTATATGTATTTGTAGTATATAGGATATAACATAAATATACTCAGTTTTGCTCTTATCAAAAGGTAGAAGTTGCTATTATGTGGCATTCGTGAATGTTACGTATACGCCTAGGCGGCTCAGTTCTCACTTTAAATTAATCTAAAACGTATAAACATATTTCAGCTTGCCACATATAGTTTTGGGTGAATCGCATATATTTCAAAATTTTTGGCTTGTGCACTAAATACTTTTAATATTCTGCGAAAATTCGCATAAAAGTAGATGAAAGCACTTATCGCCATGAAACAAAAAGCAAACAAAAGTTGGAAGCCCACCAAGAGTACACTACTTTTCTACTCATTCGTTTTAGCGGTGTGAGCTCAAAGCACCGCTAACTGCGGAACATGGACGCGCTGACGTTTGTGGCAGCGCTGCCACTCAGGCGTATGCGTGATATTAATTTCAGCAAATATTTGCAGTTTCATTTTTTGCCACATCCTTACTCCCGCTGGCAACGACAACAACGACGCTGGCGATGGCGATGATGACAGTGGCGACTGTTTTGTTGGCGGAAAGTACGCGCATGAAGAAGTAATGCAAACAAAGAAAAATCTAATGTAAATATGTATGCAGCACTGTTTTATTATTTTACTACATTTATTTTATATTCGACCGTACTTTTTATTTCCCCCAAACTTTGCATTGGTTATTTTTTGTTATTGACTTCATACGCGCTGCCGCTTGCGCAGCCATCGTACTCCGGCCGGCACCCATTTCTCGTTTTTCGCTATCTCTCTGCACTCTTTGCTGTCGCTTTTAATGACGTCGCCCAGATTTATCTATTAACTTCGCTGTCAGTGCACGCGTTTGCTTGTTTTTTTGTATCCTCTTTAACCCACCTCCTTGGCGCCAAGCATTTCGTGGTCTATTGACTGCGTGGAGTAGCGAAGTGTAGTTTGCGCTTCGCACATTAGAAACGCGAATCACATAAAAGCAATAAACTTTTGTCCCTGTCGAGCAAATATTGATGGTCTGCCAAATTTCACAAGCAATTTCGAACACCCGATACAATGGCGCCATCGTGGTGTGCCGTTACTCAATCGTTGCACGATTGTTGTATCAATGTTTTACTGTTACTGTTTGTGTACGAGTATTTTTGGTTGTGCGGGAGGGGGGAATCACGGCTGACAGCAGTAATGGAAGTTGCCTGAAAACTGCTTTTGATAATGACACACAGCTTTGACAATATTATGCTGATGATACTCCAATAATGTAGCGGTCCTCTGTGCTTACAGTGGACAAATTTCAAATCGTCCCAAATTAAATATACCAACTGCAGCGAAGAGTGCGATGCATATTGCATAAATTTATTTATCGGTGGCTGCGCAGTATTCTCACCTGTCGTTAGATGTAATCAGTTGACTGCAAGACCACAACTTCCCTAATACCTTAGGTAAAAATGATAAAGAGGTTACTGGCCGACCGGCACCGTAAAAGCCTGAGCTGGACAGAAAGGGCTCAGGGAAAGGTAAAGTTGTTATAGCCATGGAAAGATA